AACTGGGGGAAAGGGAGACAAGGCTTTTGTTGTGTCAGGAACTTTCACTTCATCACTGATGCAGGAAATGCAGAATGGAAGGTTTTTTTTGGAAGAAAAAGGCCAGGATCCTCTTGAGAAGGATTTCCCCACTTCTGTGGGATCTCCTTTCAAAACCTTGCTGTCACAGGGATGGAAAATGTAGAAAAAATCTGAAAATATTTCAGGGCTGTGCTGGTGCAGGGGAAGAAATCTTCACTGGTAGAAGAATGTTATAAAATAAGCATGGGATCACTGCGTCTTTTTCTCTAGTCCACATTCCATCCTGTATTCACAGCCCGGGGTACAGCCTTGCACCCGAGTGGGATGGCACCACTTCATATGAGACTGGCATGTACAGCGTGAGGGGGACTCCATGTGTGCTTGGGATGATGCATGAGTGTTAAATGAAGATTAAGAGAGAGGCTGGCTCAAAGTGATGTGTTAAGCTGGCATGTGACCTGCTTCCAATTGTATTTAGCTCAGTGGTGTCAACAGTTAAAATTTTGCTTCTTACACAAGACTCTCTTCCCTTGCAGGCTCCCTAGAATCCACAGAAGCCACCTATGCATCAAAAGTGCAGGGGACTGGGACCACACCTCCCCCAACTCCCACTTCTGGTCGTACCAAGCAGAGACTTCCAGGTGAGCTCCCTAATTCAGTTCCAGTAGTTTGCTAAGGCATCGAAATTTCTGCTTGAATAAAAGGCAAACTGTCTTATTGTTTAATGGAGTGTATGCTGCCCACATCAAAAACTAGAGTGCTGATTTTGATTTTGGTAGGACCTGATCAGTTGCTTTTAATGACCAATGCATAAATTACGATCCAAATTGGATTTAAACAAATTTGCCTAAGCATCAATCAGATCACTTATACTGTTGTGCTCTGCAGACTAGGGCAAGGGGTGTCCTTTACCAGCAGTGTCACTGTCTCCAGGGCTCTTGCTAGATAATATCAGAGATTATATTGAAGGCTTTTCAGTTTTGTGAATTAATAAGTAAACAACATTCTGCTATTTTGGGAAGAGAAAAAGTATGCATTAACAATGCATTATTGTGTGGTGAATTTGCTTTGCCAGCTGGCTATTTTGTGGAACTCCTAATGTGTTGGGGAAGTAATGACATGTCAGTGACTGTACCATAAAAAAGCTATTAAAAGTCTGCTAGGCAGTTGGAGTGTGTGAAGCGGGCCATATTCGATTAGTTAACTTGGATCACTGTCCCAATTTCAATTCAGCCAAATCTAAATCTGAAGATTCGATGCTAATTGAGCCATAGACACAGCCTTAAATGGGTTTTTTGCTACATACCTGAAGGTACCAGGCATGGCTCATGAACGGTGGGGTGGATAGTGTCCCCCACAGGAGCACAGCCCCCCTTCCCCCATATGCTCAGCAGCAGACCCCGCTCTCCCGACTTGGCAGTCAGACATGGGGGGACCCCAGGTGCCCCCCCAGACCCAGGAGGTATCAGTCACCGGGACAGGGGGAGGGTCCCCAGAGCACTCCACGGCAGACCCAGCAGTGGACCGAGAGTGCTTCTCGTCCACTTCTGGGTCTGCTGGTGAGTGCGCTGGGGAGCCCCCTGCCCCACCATCTCAGCATTCATGAGCCGCCTGGTACCTTGAGGTATGTAGAAAAAGCATTTTAAAGCTGTGTCTGTCCAAATCATCAAATCTCTCCAAATAGATTCAGGGAAATTAAAGGGTCTCCTGATTTGATTTGGATATTTGGCCACCGAATCAACTTGGTGACTGAAGCTTTGCACAGCCCTACTAGGCAGCAGTAAAGCTGGTTCTTCCTTTCACCAAGTAAACAACAGTAGGTTAGCAAAGTGTGAACAGGTGAGGCTTTATTATTGTTAGCTTGCCTTTTTTCCTCTGCCATGAGAGAGAATTGGTTTTTAGCCTTGGACCAGTTTTCCTTAGTAAATCATTACTAGAAACCCCATCAAAACAGTGCTGCTGATTGTATTTACGCATTCAAAACTGACTTAACATGACTACTGGCATGCTCTGTCTGACATGAACTGGGGTTTTGTTTTTGTTTCCTTGTTGGTTGGCTTTTGTTTTCTTTTCCAACCAAGCCTTAACTGAGCCTCTGATGCTGGGGGAAACAATTACAGAGGGAAGGTGAAAAACTTGCATCTCTTCTGTGCTCATGAAGTGCTTGTAATGTTTAAGTGAATATAATGCAAAGGCAAAATGGTACTCACTGCTACAAATGCAAAAACCAGCAGCCAACCACTATTCAAAATCCTGGCCTACATGCATTGTTATGTATTTCCTGCTCTCTAATACTTTTATTCATAAATATTTCTACAGGTCAAAAGCTTTTTAAAAGATCTTTAAGAAGCTCTGATGGGTTCAGTGAGACCAGTTCAGTCAGTCACACAGATGACTTGGAAAGGATGGAGCAACAGCTCCCCGCTTCATTCGCTGTACAAGAGCAAGAGGCTTCTGAGCCAGAGAAATCTGAGCAGCAAAAGGAAATGGCACAGGCAACAAACAGAGATACTGAAGATTTCCAAAGTGACAAATCCCCCAAATCAGGAAATGACTGCATTAAAGTAAAGGAACAAGAAAGCTTAAGATAAAACCCTGATGTGGATTGAGACTTTGTACAGAAATGCATTCCCTTTACCACAGGGAAGTTGGTGTTGCATTTAAAATGTCAACAGTTCCACATGCTAGTACAGTAACAGCTACTGTAAGTCATGATTAACTGGAATTTTGCACAAATACATCAGTGAAAAAGTTCCCCCTGGTCTGCTGGGGAAGGGCATGAACACTTTTATTGTACACTTATTACATTTGCTTTAATCATATAGACATTAATATCACCGAAGTAATAAGCGATCTCATTTATTAAACTATTTGTAAACATTGCCGAAAGAAATCATTTGGCAAAAGGTGATGTTTACTGTAGGAATTTAGGTGGCATTATAGTACTTGAGGAGTTGATCAGGTAGGATTAGGAGTGAACATACAACTGCACCTAGTAATGTTTGTAAAGTGGTTCTAATTTATATTCAACCTGCCAGTTGCTCACCATCTTTTTATATATGTGTATGTCAGTTTTGCCTCCACTGTAGAACAAACTTAGGTAGACATGCTGTCTGCATTGCAATTCATCTCAGTTCTCTTGGATGTATTTTGGATTTTTTTTATCCCTAATCCCTAAAAATTCATTGCCTCTCAGTAAAAGGATGGTCAGCAATTGTGAGTAAAGGGGATGTATACTTGTGTACATAGAAATGGCTGAACTGGCATCCATCAGTTTTTCCCACTTGTTTGCAGTCCAGAGTTGTTTCTTGATCTTGTGGGACTAATATTACTGACTTACGCCTTTTAGAAAGTGATAGTGCCTCTGCATGCCACAACTTCTTGTCTCTCACTGATGAGAATCTATACACACTTTCCTCTGCACGCCATTTATATAACCAAATCTCACTGAACACATTTTGTATAGAATAAATGTCATCGGAGTCTTTTTCTGGTGTGTATTTTTAAAGATACCTGTTAAGAAAGCTTGAAAACCTGTCAAGTTCATGGTTTCTACACTATCACTTTGACTAACATGGTAATACACCTATTGTAGATATTGTACAAATCCAAATAAATTCTATAAGTTAATCATAATCAACTAAGACTGCTTAAAATCCATTACAATCTGGCTAGCTTTTGTCAGAATCAAAAACTTTTCAAGTCTTTCTCCATTACTCTGAGTCACTTGACTACACTCCTTCAGGATTTGCAATAGCCTCTCCTTGTTAAGAAAGTCCCAGAAAAACTTTATAGTGCAGAAGACATTAATTGACCTAGTCCTCCAAAACTGACTTGCTAACACTGTTGCCAGCATTCCCTTTACATAAATAAGATATGTAATTTACCACCTTGTGTAGCATCAGGCTGGCCCTAGCGTTAGTGGATTGGATATTGTTATAAGGAAAATTGTTAATTTTAAGTGCACTGCCAACTAACTTTTCCTCTTGGACACCCAGATTTTGTGCAACTGGGAAGCCTTAAAATTATATTTAGCTGTAATTTTGATTCCAGTATTTAGGCAAATCAGAGTGCAGTTTTTCTTAAGTGCAAAAACATAAGTCAACCTGTCTTCCTTATCAGTTTATTTGGTGCAATGACATATGTTAACATGGGTAAACTTGTTGGGAATAAAATTATCAACATAAAGCAAAATTAATTTTTAATGTTTTTATATTTTGAAATGGTTAAAATAGCAGTTTTGTTGGAATTGAGTTATGTACTTTAGATGCTACCCAAATGTTTCAATAAAAATTCTTCAAATGATTGTATCTGAGACTTCTTACTAGTAAGAGTTCAGTAACTAGCTTTTTAACTATAAGATACCTACTCTTGCCTCATTTGTGTAAAAATCCAGCTGTAGGGCATACTAGCTCATAATTATAACAGCACATACATCAATTGAGGAGCTTCTGTTTTCAGTATGTATTTGGATGACAACACCCGAGTCAAGAGGAAGCTGGAGTCTCCAGTACTTATAAGACGTGGATAAAGCATCTCATGTAATTTCTGTGTTCCAAATTGTGTTGTCTTCCCCTCATGGTTTTGCTAGCTAGTTTTGATGGGTAAAGAAAAAGCTAGATCACTGCAGAGGGACAACAGGACTCAGTGGCCAGAACACAATAAAGAACATGTATTCATGGCATCAAAGCTCTCCTTGGAAAAAAAGCAGGGTAAGTCAGTTCTTTTGAATTCAAAGCAGTTGCAGCAGTTAAGCTGTAAATAGCAAGTAAGAGTGTAGGTGTGTATAAGGGAAAAAGAAATCGCAGAAGGTAAAGTGCAAGAAATCATATGACCGATTCATAACTCAGAGAAGGGTGAAAGGAGCTACTCCTATTGAAACTTCTGGTTCAGAAGGAACAGACAAGATATTTGAAAGCAGAGTAGTGAAAGGCTAGGAGCTCTGCAACATTTTAATACCACTGGAAATAATCCTTGAATTCAGAGAACATAATTCAATTACTGCTGTTTTATTATAATTCTCAAGCTATTGACACTTGGTTCTCAGATTGCTGGTGAGTTGTAAGGTTTACACACAGCCCCTTTTTGGCACTTTAATACTTCAGCATACTTTTCTATCAAACTCATGAAGGTTAGACCCTCTTGCAGTTTGGGGTCTTACGGTCTTGGTAGGAAAGTGCTATGTACAAACTATCTAAACTCTACCTCCAAACTTTTCAAAGCTTTTATGGAAACTTACCAGCCCACATACAGTAGATTGCACTAGAAAATTTGGTGAACATGCTTTTTCTTATCATCAAGTGTTTATAGTCCTTTTTTCAATTGATGGTTTTAGGATACTTTTTGTTTGTGTCAACTCTACAGGTTGGCACGATGGTATATGCACACACACTCTGACTCAGTTAATGCCATCTTTCCTACCAAAAAACAGACCCCAAAACTGGTTAAACTACACCTTTATTAAAAACACACCAAACTAAAAACTTCATAGGACAAAGGCAGCTGTAAAGCGATATAAATTAAGAGATACAGATCTTATTCAAATATTGTTGTCACAGCCAGCAAAATACATCTGCTTAACAAATAATGCTATGGTTACAGAACAATTGCCAAGACTTTAAGGATGTACACCTGTAACCAGTACTCAGAATTTGATCAAGATACCATAAAGATTATTATGTTCATGTAGGTTAAGCTTTTTGTAACGAGGTATTTCCAGGAATGGCTGTTAAACTCCCGCTACATATAAAACTATTTTACTACTATACCTAATTATAAAGAATACGGGACTAAGTACATCTCTGTCAGTCTGTCTCTTTTTTTGTTAAAATGCAAAAATAAGCTGTAGAAACAATGGTTACACTTCAATGCTTCAACTTTAGGGTCAACAACAAGTGAGGAACTAGCCTGGCAATGGCCCTACCACTAGTGGTCAATACTTATCTAAACTGTGGATGACTAACTTATAACAGAATGGGACAGCAGCACTGGTTAACAGATTGTTACTTCAGGAGAAGTGTAGTATGGAATATTTTCCCTTTTACAAAACAAAAAGGCTTTTTAGGCTCTCACAAGTATTTGGAAATATCTGAATCATTTTTACAGGTCTGATTGTCTTGAATTGAATATTGCAAGGTAGATTTCAAGAGGCCTCTACGTACACCTGTTGGCACCAAAAGAAAGAACTGGAGAAAAAGCTCCATCAGGGCAGAAAAACTCTTAACTTCAAAAGCAACTGCTCCCTTTTGCAAGTAACAGTGCAAACAAATGCACTTCTGCCAAAATACTTTGTTTTGAAAAGCATCAGAGTTGAGGGACAGTAGAAGATAGAATTGGCATCAGTCCAGAAACATACTCCTTGCAAAATGGTCACTCTTCTGTTGGCAAGGCCACACCTTCCTGGTCTCTTTCTGGATTTGCCTGTTAAATCTTGTCAGAACAAACCTGTACCCATAACCCTTCTTCATTTTTTTTATAGGTGCGTGGTTTTCTGTCAGGAAACAGGGAGTACTGTGGAAACGGGTGATCCTTTAAAAACGTTAATGTAGATCTAATGTGGGAAACAAAGTGGGGTGGCTCAGCCAGAGGAGACGTGGAAAGGTTCTGAAAAATAAGACAATATTGTGAGCTAATTCAACCCAGCATAGAAGCAGCTCCTGGCTGCTGTGCCTCCAGCTGCACTGTCAAGATAGGACATCCACCCTTCAGCAGTGCACAGAAAAGCCATCAGTTCAGACAAAGTATTAGCAATACTGGATACAACTAAAAACTTGTTTCTTTGGGTACCTGTAAGATCTGTTCATCATCCTGCTCCAGCCAAAAATCCACATGTGGGAAAGGCATCCAGAAGTAAGGTCCAATATGGAGTTGCTTTGTCTCTGCATCATAAATATTAATCATCTAAAGACAGGAAACAGACTTTGAAAGACTTTCCTCATCCTTCAAAAACAGCAAGTGAACCAATCAACTGCAAGGCCAGTCCCTGCAGGGAGCACCCAGCACTCAGAGTGAAAAGCAATCTAGTTGTTTGTGGTCCATAACTCTCCAGAAAGGAGAAGGTCTTCCCCCTCTGGGTCAAAGGGTAACCAAGAACCATAAATCCTT